TCTTTGTGTTCTCCTCAGAGATCTTTGTGTTCTCCTCAGAGGTCTTTGTGTTCTCCTCAGAGGTCTTTGTGTTCTCCTCAGAGGTCTTTGTGTTCTCCACAGAATTCTTTGCGTTTCTTACAGCGTTTTTGTGTTCTTCTCAGAGGTCTTTGTGTTCTCCACAGAATTCTTTGCGTTTCTTACAGCGTTTTTGTGTTCTTCTCAGAGGTCTTTGTGTTCTCCACAGAATTCTTTGCGTTTCTTAGAGTTTTTGTTTTGTTTCTTTCTTAAAGGTCGTGCCCAGTTTTAGTATTTTTACAACATTCACAGTATTTGTTCAGTAAACTGAATAAAGAACTTCTGGAACTAAAGAAAAACTAACTTTTTGTGATGTTTTGTTTTTGCACAATCCAAATGTTCCTCAGAGGCTAACGTTTGTGCGTCCACGTCGTGCTTCATGATAAAGTTTGATGAGAACTCTCAGCTGACTGGACCCTTCTCTCTGCAGCTGGATCTCCTCCGCCCTGCAGCATCTGGAGGAGGTGACCTTTGACTCAATTCTGCCCCCAGAGGCCGACCGCTTCACTGCAGCCCAGACGCTCTACAGACTCTTGGGTGAGGAGACGCCCGCCGTGTTTGCAGTCGACTCGAGATCATTAAAAATAATAAGTTCCTTTCTGCAGAGCTGCTCTCTGATAAGAAGCTGACCGCCCATCAGACGGAACCGTACGGCGACATCATCATAAAGTCAGGAGGAGGGCTCAAGATGGCCGCCTGAACACGACCGTGATGGACAGGATTTGTTTAAATTAATTTTATACATTTCTCTTGGTATTTACAAGTTTTTAGAGTAAAACGTTGTTTTTGCTACATGATTTTAAAATGAGAAGTTCCGTTTTTAATTTTAAATTAATGCTTATTTAAATATTTTAAACCTACTGTTGGCTGTTATTACTGGTTTAGAACCAGTGAGTTTTTAAAGCTGATTTTAACTATTAAATTGTCTTATTTTAAACTTTTAATAAAGTGCTGTTGAAGTTTTTGTAAACTCAGACCAGTTTGTGTTGGAACATCAACAACGTTTTAGCCAGTTTTGGTCGAACCTTGAAAGTAGAGTTGGGGATGACTCTCAGCTACTACCGCTCTAAACTGTCTCTGCCTCCATCTGGACCGGGCGGTTCTGAGCTCACGCCTCAGTAACTCTGCAGAACCGAACTGTTTGTGTCACCGGAGTGTGAGCGAGAGGCCTGATCTGAGGTCAGCGCCGCACAAACCCTCGTTTACATCAACCCGCTGGAATCAGAACCATGTCGAACACCAGCGACAGAACCGAGCCGCGCCAGGAATTATCCCCCTCCACTGATGCGTCATGTTTACACCCAAAAACACTTGTCTAATATTTGTTTGTACACAACCATGGAAATAAAACAACGAAACGCGTTTGTGTTTTTGTGACAGAGCCGACGGACGGGTCACGGGCCGGAGGTCGGATCACAGAGTCGACAATAAAACATGAAATAATAAAAAATAAATCAAGCTTTCCATGAAGGAGTTCATATCCTGTCAATCCAGAGTTTCACATTAATATCAACAGTTGGTGAAAAACTTACGAGTTTCATTGAAATTCATCCAATGGTTCACAAGATATTTTGCTAACAAACAGCCACAGGCAAACGCATCGCACACCTTTTACTTTTGACAGCGTTAACAGTATTTTCAAAGTACAAAACATGTTTTGAACCTGTTGAGATGATCAGACGTTTCTAAATGGTTGCAGTTCTTCTGATTGCTCCCTTTAGGAATCATCAAGTGAACTCACAATACAGTTGTTTTATACCGGACGCCCTGTAACCCGGACTCGAACCGGCAGCCTCCAAAGTACATGACTGCAGCCACTACTTTATACACGTTAGCTTTTAGAGTGTTTTATTATGAAAAATGAACATCGGGCTAACCTACATGCTAACCGGAGCAGTAATTACTTAAAACCAAACATACATCAGTGGGAAAGTCGTCTTGAATAAAACGGGTTTGGACCAAAACAAGTTTGAGTCAATGATCGGAATAATCGAACAACTGAAAAAGAAGATCAGGACAGCTGGACGTCATTGCCTAAAAGAATATTGTTGAATTTATGATTACAAAAGTGGCACCAAAACACAGCCCTGAGGTACTCCACATGATCTGGTTTAGTTTGAAAGGTAAAATGTGAAAAACAAAAGAAATGTCCTGATGCATGCTCCGTCATGCAACAAATTATTTAGTCTTTTCATTAAAGGAGCTGAGATCGATCGGGTCGAAGACTGAACAAACTAAATTCTTTCATCTGGATGACACATTTGAAAAAAACAGCTCGTACGTGACCCGTAACAAAAACGAGTCAGGATGACCTCATCTTCTGAAATCCTGTCTAAACTTTTGTAGTTTTTGTGAAATTCAACTTTTCTCTGCTGTAACTTCGGGAAATCCCTTCGTGTAAAGTCAAATCACAATTAAGACGATAAAGTCGCATGTTTACCGCCAAAACTCAACTGTGTTTTCTCTCTGACCTGTCTCCCCTCCACCCACATCCATCCATCAGGCCTCTGGCAGCCTAATAAACCTAACAGCTGAGTGATACATTCACAACGGCTGCTTATATCAGCCGAAAGGGCCGAGCCTGAAGGCATCACTCACACCTCCAGAGGCTTTCTCATCGGTCGTGTCTGGTCCTGATCAGAACCAGAGGTTCTGGTGACTTCGTTCAGCTCCAGGGATCAAGCTGGCGGAGGACAAGACGCAGGAAGGAGACGCCGAGCGGGCGGTGCTCGTTCGGGTCGAGGTGGAGCAGGAGCTGCCCATGTCGGTGACGCTGCCCATCGAGGTGCAGGCCGGCTCGGCGCACCGACCCTTCCCCTTCCTGGACACCACGCTGGCAGACCTGGGCATCCAGGAGTGAGTCAGAACTTTTTTAAAAAGACGAGACCCAGTCGAGATTCACCAAAACGTGTTTTGTGTCCAGGTCGGACGTGAAGGAGCGGGTGGTGTGGGTGGACACCAAGAAGACGCAGGTGAAGAACAAAACGGGGAAGCTGAAGGAGAAAGAGACCACCGTCCTGGAGGTAAGTTCAAGATGACGAGCGGAAGCGAAACGTTTCCCGGAGTTAAACGTCTTTTCTGTTTCAGGTTCGAGTGAAAGCTCAGAAACCCGGAGACAAGCAGCTGCAGGAGGTGCTGTACAGCACGGAGGCCCACACCGACCGCTCCTTCTGCCGCACCGGGATCAACATTCAGCCCTGGAAGCAGAACCACGCAGGTACCGATGACCAACAGAACTGCATTACCCACAATCCTTCTGTTTCTGAACCAGTTACCCGTTGTGAATAAATAAAATAAACCTGAACTGGCCAGAGTCGTTTATTAGTGGGAAATTTAACAAAAGAGCTCAATAAAGTTTAAATTATTGTGAATAAAACAATAATGTCAGTTTGTAAAATATTTAAGAGACAATTTTCTTGTAAATAAAACTTTAGTTTCATTAAATGTAAAGCTTTTTTTTTGTAGTTATAAAAACATATAAAATAAAGATTGTATGTGATTTTCTCAACTTTTCTTTAAATATTTTCAGGATTTCAGGGAAATTGTTGGATTATTGAAGCGGCTAACAAACTGCTAGCACGATCTGATCAACAAGTTTTAACTCGTCGTATTTTTAAACATATTGAACAGAAAAACTGATTAAACTTTTTAAATTGTTTTGAAAATCAGTCGTATTATTTTTAGTCAGGGCTGCAGGACCAAAGAGCCTCGTGTGGTCCAGAGCCGTAGTTGGACGACGACTCTGGAGCTAAAACAAGACGCTTTGGTCCAACACAGACAGAAGAGTGAAAACGTGCTGAAGGTCTGAGGGACCTGCTGAACATCAAGTTCATTCAGTTTTAACTTTTAGATCATTTATAAACCTGTCAGCATCATCATCATCATCTTACAAACCCTTCTCTCTGTTCCTCCATCAGAAACAAACGGACTCAAACCCGTGGAGATAACCGTGGCGTTTGACCAGGAGAACCACCGGCCCGGACTTACCGAGGTCCAGGACCACTGAGAGATCCGAGTCTGAATCACCAACAGGAAGAAAACAAGACTTCCTGTTTGACTAAACCACAGCAGAAAAATAAACGTTTAATTTATTTAAAAGCCTAAAATAATAACTGTTTGTGCAGCGAGGCCGACTGAGCTGCTGCTTTTGTACAATTCTGTTTTAACTTTTTCTTTTACACTAAAATGTTTAAAATGTTTACAGAGGAGGTGAAGGAGTTTATTTTAATAACAAAAATCTGAGTTTCTTAAGTTTAATTCAGAGTTTTACACAAACCAGGTGAAAAATCTGAACAAGGCGGAGGCCGAGAGTGGAAACTAAAGATGTAAATAAACTGGAAACTGTTTGTTTGTTTGTTTTAATGTAAATAAATACAAACCATAAACGGTAAAACTGAGAATTCATTCAGCGCAAGAAACCAACACTGAATAAATTCTTTCAGTCTAATGCTGTTAATAGTTTCGTCGAAGAGTTCATCTGTAATCGTTTCAATCTGGGCAAATGGAACAAACGGCCCGTTTCTTGTCTGCAGGATAAAAAGGTTCTGAACCGGGGGTGGGGGGGTGCTATGAGGCGCTGATCACCGTCTGGAGTTTGGTCTGTTGCTCTGCAGGAAGGGAGCTCACAGCTGCCTGGAAATCTGCTCCGTTCTTCTGGACAAACGCCTTCAGCAGAACCACCAGAACCCTCCGGGTCTCTGAGAAACAGCAAATCGTTAAAGACGGGTCAGAACTGAGCCCAAGGACAAGATTTGGTCTTAAACGTGTTTTTATTTTATTTTTTTTACCTTCGTCAACTTCCTTGAGGCCGACGACATGACAGGAAGCAGAAACTATGGGCTTCATGAACTTCACGACCTGATCCAAACCCGACAGAACACAAAATAATTAAAGTTCACGTTTTAGCTCAGGAGCCGCCTTTAATAATAAAAACTGTTGCAAACGAAAACAGTTCAAATGTATCTGCTCTGAAATAAAAATAAACCTTTTTCCAACTCTGACGTCTCATTTCAGGATTCAGGACCTGAAACTGATTTTTTTTCTCTCAGATCTTAAAGTGAACAGATTGAAGTGAGACCGACAGGAGCAGCTTGTGGTCAGGACCTGGTCACTGATTCAGTTTTTGGCCACCTGTTGTGTCTCGTGAACATGCAGAGGTTTTATTTAAACTCGGTCCAAAGTAAGAATGATAAAGTGTGGGGGCTACCAGAGCAGGGCTGTGCTTGTAGACCACGTCCAGGCAGGTGAACACCGTCTTGTTCTCCTCCTGATCCTCCTTCAGAGGAAGATTCGCCATCAGAGCAGGAAAAACCTGTCGGAGAGCAGAACTCGTTCAACTTCCTGTTCGTTAACGGACTCGGACCGGACGTTTGCAGGACAGACCAGGTCCAGAGGGACGGCGTCCACGTTGCTACAGATCATCCTGCAGAGGGCGGCGCACAGGTTGTCGATCACCTTCGGGTCCGACTCTTTGGTCAGAAGGTTGGAAAACACAGAGAGCATCATGGGAAAATCTCTGAACAGCATTTCATTAAGGATCATCTGAGATTTTATTTATTTATTTATTTATTTTGGACTCTGAGGAGGATACGAGACGATGATGGGTCCCGCGGCCTCAGCCAGGCAGCCCAGACCGAACACGCTGTTGTTCCGGACCTCGGCGTTTCCGTCCTTCACTCCGGCCACCAGGACAGGAAGCAGCCGGTTGGAGAGGCGGCCCGCCAGCCCTCGGCCGCCGGGCGCGCTCACAAGAGCCTGGAGGATTTCTGCGATCGTCCCGACAGAGAAGGAGCGGTCTGCCACCGTGCAGGACGATTTCTTTAAGCAGGAAGAATAATCTGTCATAATCTGAGCAGCTGAAGACGAGACGATCTGAGGCGACTCACCGTTTTGTTTATGATGAACGGCAGCAGGTCGTTGAGGAACGGAGCGAACTTGTCTGCAGGAACGCAGGACACCAGCAGGGGGATCCCCTCTCCTGCGAACTCCTGCAGCATGGCGTCGTACTCCGCCTGAAACAGGAAGCAGAATGAGGAGCTGCTCCCAGCGTAGCGGTCTGATCAGAACTGTTCTGCAGCACCTGCTGGTCTTCATCATCGTCACCACTGTCCTGACAGGCCGTCTGGTGGGAGACACAAACATCAGTGGATCTTTCTCACGTCTTTACACATCGTTTGTCCTCGTCCATCTCTCACCTTCTTCTTGAGGACGTCTCGGATCACATGACAGATCTCCTTGAGGTGTGCCGGGTTCCTGCAGACCTCCTCCTTGCAGGACTTGATCACGTTGTTCATGGTTTCCAGGACGCTCATCACGACCTGCCGCTCGCGGTCCGTCCTCACCTTTTCCAAGAAACATGGAAGAATCAGGTCCAGAAGCTTCTGCAGGGCTGGAGGAGACAGATTTAAATGGATCGTGTCCACAGCGGCAGCGAACGGTGATGTCATCGTCCGGTTTTACCCTGGTGGTTGGCCTCAGATGGATTCTCGGTCCAAACTTTGTGCTGAGATCGACAAAACTGTCCCAGAGCTCCCAGCGCCGCCCTGCGGACGTCCTCATGAGGAAACTACAGAAACATTAAATCTTTGTTACAGTGAAACTGGTTCTGTTCGGACCAGCCTTCAGCTCATCCGTCTGTCAGAATCAGTTTCCTCTGAGCTTCAGAGCGACAACGTGTTTAAAGAGTGTCAGCCTCAACTGGGCCCCCGCCTGCCGGCCCCCAGGATGGAGCGGGGTCAGATCCTGGATGGATGAGGACTTTAATCCCCCACAGACCCGTCCTTTTATAACCACAGACAAAGCTGCTGAGACAGAGGACTGAGCTGTGACTTACGTCTCTCATGTCGTAAACCTGCTGGAAGCTGGACTCCATGAAGGGCAGGAAGGCAGAGCTGCCGGGGAACAGAACACGTTCAGCGTCTAACAGGCCTCAGATCAGTTTTTATCTTTACTGTCGTTTCAGCAGAAAGAAACGAGTCCGTGTGTGCGGCTGGTACCCGGTGCTGAAGGCGATCTCTCCCAGAGCGTCGCAGGCGTCCTCCTTCTCGTCCATGTAGGCGTTCTCCACACTGAACCTGAAACATGGACTCCGTCTGAGCAACACGTCTCTCTGAAGGAAACATGGAGGTGGGAGACAAAGTACCCCGCAAAATCCTGCACATCTTCCTCCGGCTCGTCTTCCAAGAAGTGCTCGTCAGCTTTTCCTTCGTCTTCTTCGTCCTCGTCTTCGTCGAGGACAAAGAATGAAGCATCCTCTTCCAGGTGAGCCTGGAATAAAACAAAGATGGTGGAAACTGAATCAGTCTGTTTAAGAACGGTTGATCAGAGGGTTGGGTGTGTCGTACCGTGACGCCTTCGTTGGACTTGAGGGCGAGCAGCATGACGGTTGTGACGGCAGGAAGGTGGGGGGTGAGACACTCGGGGACGACTGTGGACACGGCTGAATACAGACTGTACCTGAGGACGGAAGGACAGAGAGACGGGTTAAAAACTGCAGCGGGTTTAAAACAAGAACTCCAGCGGCGTTCTGGCAAAGTACGCACGTGCAGCGCCTCAGGTCCGGGTCGTCGATGGTATCGGTCAGGTTCAGGCCCAGACGGATGCACTCTGCAGCGAGAGGACTGAAGACGTCCTTCCCAACGTTACGAGCCAGAACGGACAGAGTGTCTGAGAACCACAACGTTCATTAATGCAGCAGAGTTTCCAGTTCAGTTTAGTTTGAGTCCAACGTGGGTCCAGTTCAGTTTGTACCGAGGGACTGGGTCTGCAGAGACCTCATCTGCTCCGTGGTGGTCGTCAGGAAACCTTTCAGGCTTTCGATGACCGGAGGGAAGTAAGGAACCAGCAGCTCCTTGGCAGCGTTGGCTGTTAAAATAAGTTCAAGTGATTCTGGTTCTGTTAACTCATGACCCGCTCCAATCTGTGACAACATTTTTAAATCGTGGGTTTGGAAGAAAAATAGAAGCAAGAATTTGGACATGGGTACAGAAACAGATCAAAATATTCACTTTAAGACAACTGATGCAGAAAGAACAGTTTGTTGTTTAAATGTGTCCCTCCGTGGCCTCCGTCCGTCTTCACGTCCACAAACAGATGTCTGGTTTTGAAAAACGCTCTCTCCGGGGCGAGTTTGTTAAATTCTCACCTATGGCGCCGATGGCAGACACGGCTAGTTCTTTGATTTTCAGGTTTTCTGCGTTGTTGAGTGCAGACAGCATGATCTCCATCAGGGTGGGGAGGTAAGGCTCGATTTCAGCTCCTGTTAAAAAAAAAAGAGCAGAAAAATTAATCTCTTGTAAAAAGAACGACCACAGTACGACGGAGCTTTAGGGCCAAGCCAAGAAAAAAATATATGAAAAGCCATAAACTTATGAGAATAAAGTCGTACAGCTTTTTATTTCAGCTCGTGTTTTTTTCCCCACGACTTGGATCTACAGCGTGACCTGTCAATCACTGTAGTAAGCGTATCAGCAAATGCCTAATCTGAAGCTAAACGAGTCGTAATATGATCCGAACTCCAACAAGATAAAGCAAGTTTACATTTTAACTGTGGTAAAACGAAGAATGTTGAGCATCTGGTTAAATTATACTTTGGTTTTACAAATAAGGAGATAGTTAATCTGTTAGCACATCAGCATCTGATTATCAGCATCAGATTATCAGCATCAGATTATAAGCATCTGATTATCAGAATCAGATTATCAGAATCAGATTATCAGCATCAGATTATATCAGCATCAGATTATCAGCATCAGATTATCCATCCATCCATCCATTTTCTTTACCCGCTTGTTCCATTTTGGGTCACGGGGGTCGCCGGTGCCCATGTCCAGCAATCACCGTGCGAGGGGCGGGGTACACCCTGGACAGGTCGCAAGTCCATCACAGGGCCACATAGAGACACACGAGACAAACAACCATTCACTCTCTCACTCACACCTAGGGACAATTTAGAGTTACCAATCAGCCTAACATGCATGTTTTTGGTCTGTGGGAGGAAACCGGAGTACCCGGAGAAAACCCACGCATGCACGGAGAGAACATGCAGCATCAGATTATCAGCATCAGATTATCAGCATCAGATTATCAGCATCAGATTATCAGCATCAGATTATCAGCATCAGATTATCAGCATCAGGACTTTGAACCTGCTTACAGTCAGGTGGTAGCTCTGATGGGCAGCAGCTCTGCAGGTGAGGAGCATTTAGCTTTGGATTGGTCACTTGCTGACACACCTGGATTGATTGACAGGTCGCATCGTGGATCAGACTGGTGGGAAAAAAAAAACACGAGCTGCCAAAAAAAATAAAAAAAAAGTCTCGTACGACTTTACTCTCGTAATTTATGGCTTTTAATTAGTTTTTCTTAGCGTGGCCCTACAGCTCAGTCGTACCACCGTAATGAACGTCTATAATAAAATTAGATTAGAAGCCTAAAAATCTACCCAAGTTCTCCAAGAAGTTCTCCAAAGCATAAAAGGCTTTAGTGATATGTCCGACTTTGGCCTCGTTCAGGGATGAAAGGTATCCCAGCAGCAGAGGCATCAGCTCCCCACAGTATTTATTTACTTCAGGCTGTGGACAAACAAACAATGTGATCCAAGTCGTATTTTCACTGACAGACCACCACCCTCAGGCTTTAAAGTGCGACTCGGTCGTTTTGTGTTGGGACTCACCTGCAGGTGTTCGGTGAACTGTCCAAGGGCGAACAGGGCGGCGCTGCGGACCACCTGGTCGCTGTCGGACAGACTCTGACAAACCGTCTGCAGCACCGACGACAGCATGCTGCCGAACAGACGGGACAGGTGAGCGTGTGAACAGAACCAGAGAGCACAGAGGCTTCGGGCTCTTTATTTACTTTGTGCGGATGTGGTCTGCACATCCTTCAGCCAGAACCGCCAGGCACATGAGTCCGCCCTTCTTCTGATACGGGTCCTGACTGGCCAGGCAGGCCTGCGTCAGGGGGGTCTGAGAAAAACGAACGTCTGATAGAAACGCACGAGGAACTGCTGCGACATGATGACAGGCGTTTCAGACAACTCACCAGGTGATGAAAGAGCTTCTCTGGAGGCAGGTGGAGCGCCATCGTGTCGATCATCTACAAACACACGTCAGTCACTTGAACCTGTGGAGCTGAGGGTGAAACAGAAACCAGCTTCTCTGTACCTGAGCGGCGCAGTGCTTAGGGCTGTCGTCGTCTGTGCCGTCTCCTCTGTCCTCCTCGTCCTCGGGGTCCTGCTCGCCGGGTGGGGGGGCTGCGGTCAGGATGGGGAAGATGCCGTGCAGGATGGGGTTCAGCAGCTTCAGCTTCAGCACGGTCTACAGAGCAGAGGACGTTCCTGCTGGTTTAACCAAACTCTGCCCCAGAGCGGGGTGAAGATTTAGAACGAGCAGGACCGACCTTACTCTTCAGCCGGATGAGGAAGGTGATGCAGGAGAGGCCTTTGACTCTCAGGGAGTCGCTCAGAGACGTGTTGCTGCTCACCTGACGGAGAACAGGTCCGACTCTGAGCAAACGTGCCAAAACGTGGAACAGTAAAAAACACAAAACTCAACAGGACGTGTTTTTTACCTCCAGACAGAAGTGGACGATGTCGGCGACGTGAGGGGTGATGATGGACACTTCGATCTCCATGAGCTCTATAAAAACCTCCATGGCTTCAGAGGCCTGGTCCTGCACACACAGACCGGACCGCAGAGGAGCAGAGTGGGAAACTAAACTAGGGATGCACGATATTATCGGCATGGTATCGGCTGATAGTAGCAATAAAGATAAATATCGGCCATTCCATAAAATAACTCAATGATATAAAAGGTTTCCGTTTTAAGTTATTTTTTTATTTAAGAAACTGTCAAGTTTATCTATTAATGATTTAATACTCATTTTCAGCACCTGCATCAAGTAGCAGGCCAAAGTGACAAAGACCATGCAGAATAATATATTTTAATTCCACAGAATAGAAAGTTATGTTGTCTCTGTAAGTGGGTCTAAGTAGGAAGAAAAATCAATATCGGTTATCGGCCAAATAAGATTTAACATATCAGCAAAAAAAACAACATCGTGCATCCCTACTAAAACCTTTCCATCCAGGGTTTACCTGATCAGCACTGATGAGGCGTTTAAGAGCGAGGATCAGGTTTGGGACGATGTTTCGCATCAGCTTCTAAAAAAAAATGAACCAGAAGAAAACCAAAAGACCACATTTAGATCAGAACAAAAGCTTTGGATTGTTATAAACCAGAAGAGTGGAGGACGTCTGAACGCTGAAACAATTAAATAAACCAGTACGTTTGCCTCACCATCTCCTCGGTGCCAATATAAGCTGTTATAGCTGTAAGGCTGAGGATGCAGTAGTAAAGGCCCGTTGGGTTGTCGTAGTCCTGCAGAGCGGCACCCAACAGCTGCAGCAGCTGGCAGTAGTGAGGCTTGAAGGGTTCTGGGTTGGACTCCAGCACCTTATTGAGCAGCAGGAGACCAATCTGTTTGGACAAACGAGCGCTGATGTGAAAACTAGTCGAGGAATAGTTCAGTAAATAAACGTATAAATGCGTGCAGAAAGGGTTGCAGCTGCTCCCTGATCCCGTACCTGTCGGTCACGAGGGTTGGCGCTGCTGGTGGACTGGTTCAGGAGCTGCAGCAGGGCGGGCCAGTGGTCCGGTGTCTCGTGTTTGACCAGACTTGCGCACAGCTGGGAAAGTGAGTGCTGCACGGCGTGTCTACACAACAAAAACAAAAGAAAAACAGGTGAGGAGAAACATTTCACCTCCATCTTTGTAGTTTACTTGAAAATACTCACTCTGTTTCCTGCATGAAGGCCATCAGCACGACTGCCTTCAGGCTGCACGAAGAAACATCAGTTTATTTAACATTCAAAGTGCGTGACATGAGAGTGATGATGGTGGAGTCCAACCTCTCTCTGTCTGCTGGACTAATCTTCTTCCAGCGTTTCTTAACCCTCAGCCTCAGCATCACCGTGGCCGACTGACGAATCTGTGAACAAACAGTAAAGTTGTTTAAATCAGCCGCCCATGTGCAGGAAAAGTGTTCAAACTTTCTGTAATCCAAACAAGGTTTGCAAAGACGAGGTTTGTTCCCTTTATAAACTTACACAAAACTATAATCATTTTAAATCTGCTTTCTTGTTTTTTTTACTTGATCACTTTAACGACCTGTGTTATTGTTTTATGTATTTAAATATTGCATTTTGATGTTTTGTCCAGGTAAATTTCACTTTCGCCTGCAATAGGAGCTCCTGAAAATGTACCTGCATTCCACACGTTGTCCAAACTCAAATTTTCAGAGGATTATCATCATTAGAAGATAAAAAAAACAAACATAAAACATCTATAATTCTCCTCTGTAAGGTGGCATTGCTACTATATTTATCTCTCACGGCTACATAATGCTCTGTTTTGTTTAATTTTGACAAATATTATATTTTTTAGTCTAGAGGAAATATTTATACATTCTCATCATCACAACAATGAGCCTGCAAAGTGATTGATTTTCTTAAAGACGTTATAAACAATATAAATAGATAATCTAACAGCTTTTCCTCGATTGGGTGAAATGTTTGTTGGCAAAAATTAAAATGTTTTAAAGAACTTGAATAGTTGGAGAGCTGCAGGAGACTCAAAATACTGCTAAATATGTGACTTTTGGGGGATAAAATAGCCATTTTAAATCTTTTTAAACGTTTTAAGATTCAAGGGAGCACCTGGGGGTTCTTGGATCCGCTCATCACCGCACACAGGCCTGGGATGATTGCTGGGTCCTTGAACGCCTCTTTCAGCCGGGCTGTAGCCTGAAAAGATGGAGAATCAGCCGCTTTAACGGAACACGAGGAGCCGTTGGAAACAAACCGCCGCTCGTGTGTGTCCAAAGCGCAGCGCCCCTGAGCTGCTGTTACCTGCTGAATGACAGCGTTGTCAGGCTCCGTCAGATGCTGAAGAATCCGCTCAAGTTCCTCCGTCATCTTGACCAGTTCAGATCCACCCTCGGCAAGTTTCGGTATCTTTCGGCCGACAGTCGTCAAATAATTAAAACGACGCGCGAGCTGTCCTTCTCCTCCGGTCACCGATGTAAAACCGAGATATTCCGGTTTTTAGGGGTTAAAAACAAGCTAAATGTCCGTTTTTAGAAACAGTTGGATGAAGTTCGTCCGTGAGGAGCCGACACAGCCCGGTCTGTTCCGTTGGAGCTGCACGCGCTGGCGTTCCACGCGTGATGAGTTAAAGGGACCTCGGATTTTAGAGATTTATAACCGGTAGACGGAAACAGCGCCATCAGCTGCACAGGAGGACTTATGACACGTTCAAATACAAAAAAAAATGTAGCTATGTTTTTAAAGTTCACTCTTCTGTGTAAATAAACTTTACAGTGTGAAAGCGTTCACTCTGTTGTGATCCTTTTTTATTCTAAGTTTTTTGGCGCGAGTCTCATTCAAGCTGTTTCAATAATCATAAATCAAAACGTTCGGCTCATTCAGGACAACCTGTTATGACTTTTGGTATTGGTGCAACTTTAGCTTTTGGAAATATTTAGCCTTTTCTGACATTTTTTTTTTTTCTGATAGGAAATGAACTTAGCTCATTTTACATCCTTCATATCTTTACATCTGTTTACAACCTTTTTCTGCTCCTTTCACATTTTGTTCTGCTTTAGCTACTTTCAGCTTCTTGTGCAAATTTAAACCTTTTTTCAGATGTTTCCAGCTGTTTTGTGCTCCTTTCAGATTATCTCTGCTAAGTACAATTTTTTGGTGCTTCTAACTTCTTTCTGCTAATTTCAGCTACTTTCAATTTTTTTAGCTACTATTTAGTTGTTTATGCTAATTTTAGTCCTTTACCTTATAGATGTTCTCCAAATAAAGTAGCTGATTTATTTTTTGGTTCTTTAGCCATTAAAAGGAACGCTGAGTGAACTATTCTCGCACTGAGAGCCAGATTATATGTTCAGTTTAATAATCTGAAGCTAAAGACATCGTCGTTAAAGTTGCATTAGAAAGCCATGTCAGCAGGTTAATGTTTACAACCATTTTTATGTTTATATTGAAAATATTTTAGCTGTTTTATGCTAATTTTAGCCTTTTCAGCTAATTCCACATTTTTTTGTGCTCATTAAAACTTTTTTCAGCCTAATTCAGGAAAAATCTGCTCTCTCCACCTCCTATTGGTAGTTTAAGCTTCTTTCTGATCTTTTAGCTACTTTTCAGCAGTTTTTCTTTTTACTAATTTTAGCTTTTTTTTCGGATAATTTCCACGTTTTGTGCTCATTTTTGACTCTTTCAGCTTTCTTCTGCTAATTTAAGCTGTATTGAGCATGCATCAGGTTAATTTAAGCTTGTTCTACCTTTTTAGCATTCTTTAGCTCAGTTTATTTTCAGATAAATTTAAAATTTTCATGGTAATTTTTGCTAATTTTAGCCTAGTTAACTTCTTTCTGCTAATTTCAGCTTGTTGTGCTCCTTTTAGTTTATTTCTGCTAGTTTTAGCTTTTTCAGCTAATATTTAGTTGTTTTTATGCTAAATTTAGCTCTTTCAGCTACACATTCTTGGAGCTCATTTCAGCTCTTTCAGCATCCTTCATTCTAGTAGTTTAAGCTTCTTTCTGCCTTTTCAGCTACTTTCAGCTTTTTTTTAAACTAGTTTCAGCTTATTTAGCTGATTTCCTAAAAACAATCTCATTTCTGCTTATTTAAACCAAATGTGTTATTTCAGCTTTCTGATAAATTAGACTTGTTCATACATGTTGGCTGTATTTCAGCAAGTTTTTAGCTAATTTCAGCTGTTTTTCAGCAAGTCCTTCTGCAACAAGCATTCACACTGCATTTTCACAAGAAATGTAGCTTCTCTAGTTGTTTTGTGACTTTATACATTTGACCTGTACTCACAAATAAAAAAAATCCTAAACACAGTTGTCTTTGAAATCTGTCTCAGAATACTTTGAATTATTGTTCTCTGTTAATCCCAAATGGGCAAATTAATTCTCTGCATCTATCCCACATGTGAAGCAGAGAGCTGCCATTAGCACCCGGGGGGGCAGCTGGGGGGTTAAGGGCCTTGCTCATGGGCCCAGAGTAGGGCGAATGAGGGTGGGGGCACGATTTACTCTTTTTTATGCTACTAACTCAGCTAACATTTGGCTATTTTTAGCCAGCCTTTTGCTAATTTTAGGAAACCTGTTGCTACTTTTAGCACATCTTTTTGTGCATAACTAGCCTTGTGCTACTTTTATTTAGTTTTCATTGCAGTTTTGCAACTTTTAGCTAGCCATTTGCTTTTTGTTAGCTATTTAACAAGGTTTTGCTACTTTCTGTTAGCCAGATGCTATTTTAGCTACTAAATTTACAAAATTTAACTAGGCATTTGCTATTTATAGCTAACGTTTTGCTATTTTCACTACTTCAGCTAACTTTTTGCTAATGTTAGCTAGTTTATAGCTACTTTTAGCTACCTTTTGCTACTTTAATTTTAGCTAACTATGGTTTACTTTTAGCATCTTTGGGGGTTTTTTTAGGTAACATTTTGCTTTGCTTAGCTAGACACTTATGTCTTTTAGATAGCAGTTGTTTTACATTTTGGCTATAGCTAGTGGTTTGCTACGTTCAGCTTCTAATGCGTGTTCTTCCTTTAGCTTTAAAATCTCAGATTTGGCTTTTTCTGCTAATTTTAGCAGCCATTCAACACTCTGAATGTTCCCTTTTCATTTGCTCATGGATGCACATTTGACTTGATTAAAATGAGCAGTAAAATGGCTGAAACAGTCAGATTTATAGATGTTGGGCTGAACATGTGACTCGAGCTTCCACGCGGTTCGGATTCAGCAGAGCTTTGTTTACGTTGACTGCCTGCCCGCATTTCAAAACATCTGGAAAACTAGTGGCGTAAACCCTTTCAAACATCACCACTTTATTCAGTAAAGGATATTTTATGTTGATTTCGTATTTTGCTATCAGTGCTTTCAATCTGTTTAGTAAAATGCAAACAGTTCCCATAACACAGAGCATGCATGCACTTTGCAGCGCTGACACCTCTCCCCGGCACCAAAGAGCTGCCAGTACTCACTCAACACATACCAATGCTAATGAAGCAGACTCACCCCCTGAGTTTGTGTATTCTCTGCTCCTGGAACACCTTGCAACAAAAAAACCCTGAAGATTTTAAACATTTGTTAACTTCAATTAAAAAAAATCAACGCTGACATTTTCCTGTTTTTAGTATTTAACCTCGTTTCATAATTTTATTTTGCTTTATTTATTTACTTTTCATTCCATATGCGTTTTATGGCTGTTTATTGTTGAGTAGCTTCTCTGTGGTTTGTTTCAAACAGGTCTCTCTTGTAAATGAGTCCTTGTGACTCACTGAGACTAACCTGCAGAAATAAAGGTTGAATGGATGCTCCTACCTGAATAACCAACTCCCCCCTCCAGATCAGACGAACAAACCTGCCCCACCAGAGATCAGACATGCGAAAGCTCCCCGTTAGGGTACTCTCCTCCCCTTATCTGGCCTCTAACTGAGTCGTTAACACATCAATACGAGCAGGAGAGGAACATCTGGTTCCTCCTTGTGAAAAGACTTGCAGATGAAGAGAACATGAACGTGCCCAGACGCTACACTTCAGCTTGAAGATGTTCTCCAAAAACAGTGTTGCCAGATCGGGCGGTTTTCATTCTGATTTTGTGGGTAAACATTGCTTTGGGCGGGTGGGGATAATCTGGGTGGATTGGGAGTCAGCTCGGCGGTTTTTGAGTTAACCTACATTTCAAACAATCATTCATCATTATTGGTTCAACACGCCCCTGACCTTTCTCCATCGCTGATTGGCTATTGTCATGGGCCAGGGCGTTCACAACAGAGAACTGGTGAGGCAGAAAGTGGACGCCTCGCTGAGTGGGCTGACCCGTTGCAGTGGTACGTCGGAGCGGCCGCCATATTGGATGTGGCAGAACTGCCGGTCAACTAATAAAGGAAATGGACAGAACTTCATAAAGCACCGTTCTACAAAGTGTTTTTTGTTAATGCCTGTCACTCACACACACTAACATATGTGGAAAACAAACAGGCACCAAAGACAACACTTATAACTTTTTAAACGATTATTAAAAATGTTTACTCATTAAATATTTAGGTTAAAGGTAAGCACTAAGTCAACATATGTATTCTTTTGAGTGTTTACAACTACTAATGTGTGTAACACTATTACTGTGGTGATAAATATAGAAATATTCAGATTGAATATTTAATATGTGTCTAACCAGATCCTGAAATGTGACGTGTTGATCTGATGAATAAATAACAGTAACGTTCACATTTAACGATGAACATATAAACACCAGTATATCTTTACGGGGAGTGGGGGGTATTGGGTGTGTGTATATGTGTGTGTGTTCAAAGAGTAAATATAACAATATATTGATTGGGCGGTTTTTGGGCTGGAAAACCTGGACTTTACCTGGCAACACTGAATACAGTAGCTGATTTATTATTTGGTTCTTTATCCATTAACAGGAACGCTGAGTGAACTATTCTCGCACTGAGAGCCAGATTATATGTTCAGGTTAATAATCTGAAGCGAAAGACATTGTGGTTAAAGTTGCAGTAGAAAGCCAAGTCAGCAGCTTCATGTTTAACCGTTTTTGTGTTTGTATTAAAGTTTGTTAAACTTATATTCTTGCCAACAAGAGTCTTTTGATTCGTTCAGAACAGTAATAAAAACCAAATTACCCAAAAGACCTTCAGTCTGAGGAGCTGCAACAAACTCTTATAAACTGTGGAACATCAAAATGCTCAAATTTAAATAAATGAATAAAACATTATGAAATAAGAACATTTTTCATTTTTATTATTTTATTTCATAATTGTATTTTTCATGACTTATTTCATAATTGTTTTTCATGACTTATTTATTTCATAATTGTGTTTTTCATGACTTA